GTATAATTTACAGTGAATAACCGTAAATTGACATTCCCAGAATTCCCTGTGTTACATTTCAAATTTGATGTTTTTTTGTTGAAATAACTATGTTTCTTCTTAGTTTTTTCTTATCAGTTTTGTATATTAGGTTTGTGTGTTACACCTAATGTTGTTAAATGAATGTTTATTGCATTATTTCAGTTTCATGTGTGTTACCATGATGGTGTTTAGTGCTTGTGTGAATGACACTGTGCACCTTCTATATATGTTATTATTTAAAAGCTGCTTGTGTTGGGCTTTGGTTCATCGTGTGACTTTCTCATCACCACCTGCTTTTGGTGGTTATCAGTGTATTACAAAGGTACAAAACAGATTTCAGTACTTCAATAGGTTGGTATATTAACATTATATAAGTTAATGAAATTACGGTATTTAACTGTAAATTTAAATTAAAACCGTAAAACCTAAAACGTTGCTACCGTATTTTTTACGGTAAAATTCCGGCAACCACAGCTGCAGTTTTTTTTACCGTAAATTTTACTGATTTTTTTTTACAGTGCAGTCTTCAGTGTCACATGATCCTTCAGAAATCATTCTAATATGCTCATTTGCTGCTCAAGCAACATTTCTGGTTATTATCAGTGTTGAAAGCTATTTCTGTGGAAGCTGTGATACATTTTTTTCTGGATTCTTTGAAGTTCAAAAGAACAGCATTTATTTGGAATAGAAATCATTTGTGACATTATAATTGTCTTTATTCTCAGTTTAATGTCAGTTTAATGCATTCTTGCTGAATAAAGAGTATTAATTTCCCCGAAATTTTAAAGGTAGTGTAACAATAAAAGAAAATTGTTTTGTTTTTGTTTGTTTGCTTGTTTGTTTGTTTTTAAGGAAGGAAATCCACAAGGAAGGAAATTCTAGGTCTGAAGTAATCATTCTGAACTATTTGCAAATAATATTTTAATATATGCACACATGCACGTCTCGTCACATGCAGATTAGGAACTACACAAATCACCAATTCTCAATTCAAAATGGCCATATTTGAGAAAAAAAGCTCGGCTAGTTTGCATCATATTGCTGTCACACATTTATTTCTAGCATTAAGCAGTTGTCAAATATTCAATATTTCGCTACTTCCATCTTACCCTGCTTACTTTGATTTGATTGGCCATCTCAATCACTTTGACATTGAGGAGCACTGTTAGACAGCTAAGGCAGACCAGACTAAAGTTGTAGCATAGATTGTAAACCTTTTTCTCATCATGTGCACCTCATGCACGATCGGTGCATAATTACAAGTGCACAAAATGCTTTATTCAGTTATTTCTAAACCATGCCTCCTTAAAAGTCAACATGAAATTAAGACTGAACTGATACAGTGTAATATTTTTTCATAACGTGTAACTTATAACACTACCCCGTTTATATTTTCTTCCCCTCCAATCATCTCCATCGTTATCTGCTCATGAATAGGCCTGCATCAGATATTTGAAGAAAAATGGCTTTTCAAGTGATCTGTATTTTTTTTAAATCTATCATTGCTCCTCTCAGTTTTTCTAAACAGGCCACCTATGGTCCATATCGGTGTGCATATGTGTGTACTTCTCTTTATTTCCTTTCATCCTCTTTATGTCTTTCCTGTCTCTTTGTAAGTCGTTGGCTCTTGGCAGGAGTTCAGCTGAGTCATGTGAACAGAGAACAAAGCGTGGCAGCCTCCAAAAATGACAACTAATGAAATAACTCTAATCTGATGTGGGCAGGCCAGGGCTGGGCTTGGCATGGTTTGGCATTGCTGTCATGAATGATGATGAAAAAATATGGCAAGCTTCCACTGCTGGTCCAAATCGCCTATCCATGGCATACCGATGAGGTTACCAAACCAGACTAGGCCTTTTCTATGCCTCGCCAAACAGGCAGATTTTGTGAAGAAAACACAGATGTGACTCTAAACTCTGATATCATCACTGTACTGTAGATGTTGAACTGCCTAAATATTTTGCAAGCTACTGTGAATCTCACATTATTGTGCAACAGATAATTATGAAATCTAGCATTTTGCAGATTAGTGGTAAACTAAAGCAGCTTCGGTTTAGTTTAAACTAATTCTTTTTATTATTATTTGTTACTTTTAGCTGCTAATGATTACATTTTTAATTTACTTATTATTTAAAAAAATAATTATAATGTAATTAATTTAAATAATTGAATCGAATTAGTAATGTTTACAAATTATTTTTGAATTGCATTATTATTTTTTTAGTAATTATTGTTTCATGATTTTTTTTTATTGTATGATTCATTTTTATTTTATTGTTATTAATTGCAATAATAATTATTATTAGTTGTTTATTATTAATTGTAAGAATTTTATCTAATTATGCTAATAATGTTTTTCATTAAATTACTATTTATTTGTACTAATTATTTTTCATTATTATTTTTTAACTGCTAATGGTTTTTTAATTGCATTATTATTCTTTTGTACTTATTTTTAACTGCTAATGATTCTTTTTAATTTAATTATTATTGTTTGCTCTTTTTTATTATTATTATTTTTAACTGCTAATGATTCTTTTTAAATAATTTTTCTAAATTTTTATTTTTTTTTAATTATCATTAAAACTAATTGATTTTTCTCCTTTATAAACTGAAAAATGGTGTAAGATTTACTCTGAATCAATTATCACGCAGAAATTGCTAGTACACTTCACTTATTACAAAGAAATGGCAAATAATATGAACAACCTTGAAACATTTTAAGTAGGAAGCTTGAAATATAATTTTTTTTTTGTAAAACATACTCTGATAATCTTTGTTTGTTTGCTTGTTTTTTTTTTTACAACTTTGAAAAATATAATTTTTACAGTATATTTGAAGGTCTTATTCTTATTCCAGAAACCAGGCATGTTTAATTCAAGCCATGAGCAATCAAAGCTAAATATCTTATTATGTGACTAAAAACCCGAATTTTCCATCCATTTATTTTGATGTATTAAAGACAATTATTTTCTCTCTATAACAGTTAGATGGTGCTGCAAACAAGCTCACTGGAAAACAGAACAGATGTTTGATGTTTATTCAAATGAGATTTGAAATAATTGCATTCTTTCTAGCAGTTCCTGAAAACAGAAGAACAACAGAAACATGTCACAATTTGAAATTCTATTTTAGAATCAAACGTTTTTGTTTTTTTTGACAAGTTTCCCCAAGGGCTTTTAATAACCCTATAGTTTCATTGTTGATTTGTACGTTTCTTTTCTTCTGTCTGAGAAGGTTCACATTGATCCGGGCCATAGATGTTTTTGTGAAGCCAGTCAGCTGCGCTCTGGTGCTCAAAATGTTTTGTTGCTCATCCAGTTGGCTTCAGCAGTTGTGAAATCATGAGATTTCCTGGCATTTTAAATCATTACACACAATATGATATCATTAGAACGTTTCTTCTGCTTTGTATTCAGGCCTTTGCTGTCCTGAAAACAGTGTGTGTAGCTGAGAAGTGTCTAAAGGCCGTTATTGAGTCTTTCTACAAAACATATCGATGAGGTTACCAAACCAGACTAGGCTTTTCTGTGCTTCACCAAACTACTAGTGCAGGCAGATTTTGGTGAGGAAAACACAACTGTGTTTGTGCCTCTAAACTCTGATATACTCACTGTACTGTAAATGTCAAACTGTTTAAATATTTTGCAAGCTACTGTGAGTCTCACATTATTGTGCAACAGATAATTATACTGATAAAATCTAACATTTTGACTGAAACATTAGTAACTTAACCAGCTTCATTTTGGTTTTTAATTATTTTTTTATCATTATTTTTAACTGCTAATAATCATTTTAAAATGATTTTAACTGCTATTTTTAATTGAATTATTTTTTTTCTACTAATTATTTAACTATTTTTAATTATTTTGTTTTTTAGAATTTACTTTAAAACTATTTTATTCAGAAATTGCTAGTAAATTTCACAAATAATTACAAAGAAACTGAAATTTTGAAGTAGAAAAAACTGAAATAGCCAAATGCAATTCAGTAATCTTTGTTTTTCTTTCTTTCTTTTTTTTATTTTACATTCTGAATCAATAACCAATTTAATGTTAGTCTGATGAAATAATCAAACGAAATACTGTGGTGAAAGAGTGTGTTTTTGAAAGAAGTCTTGTTTGCTTCATATTTCTGTGGAAACTGTGAATAGGAAGTTCAAAAGAACAGCATTTAAACAACATAGAAATGTTTTGTAATATTATAGATGTCTTTACTGTCACCTTTGATTAATTTAATGCACCCTCGGTGAATAAAAAATAAATAAAATAATAATCCTACTGACCCTACACTCTAAAAAATGCTGGGTTAAATTGAACCCAACCGCTGGGTCAAAACAACCCAACCTCTGGGTCAAAACAACCCAACCGCTGGGTCAAAACAACCCAACCGCTGGGTCAAACCCAC